TCCCGAGGAAATTCCGGAGGTGTCGGAGCTGGGAAGGGATTTTTGGGGCTGGAACACCCTGAAAAATTGTTATTAAGACTTGGAGTTCCTGGGATGGGAGCCCAGGCAGGGAATTCCCTCTGGATAATCGGGATATAACTGGGATTTCAGCACCTCCTGACGGCCCTGGGAGCCTCCGGAGGAAATTCCGGGGGTGTCGGAGCTGGGAAGGGATTTTTGGGACTGGAACACCCTGTAAAGTCGTCTTTGAAACTTGATGATCCTGGGATGGGAATTCCCGGTGGATAATCGGGATATAACTGGGATTTCAGCACCTCCTGACGGCCCCGGGAGCCTCCGGAGGAAATTCCGGAGGTGTCGGAGCTGGGAAGGGATTTTTGGGACTAAAACACCCTGAAAAGTCATTATTAAGACTTGGTGTTCCTGGGATGAGTGGGGAGGGGAGCCCTGGCAGGGAATTCCCTATGGAAAATAGGGATATAACTGGGATTTCAGCACCTCCTGACAGCCTGGGAGTCTCCAGAGGAAATTCCGGAGGTGTCGGAGCTGGGAAGGGATTTTTGGGGCTGGAACACCCTGAAAAGTCCTCTTTGAAACTTGATGATCCTGGGATGGGAATTCTCTGTGGATAATCGGGATATAACTGGGATTTCAGCTCCTCCCGCCGACCCCGGGTGCTTCCCGAGGAAATTCCGGAGTTGTCGGAGCTGGGAAGGGAATTTTGGGGCTGGAACACCCTGAAAAATTGTTATTAAGACTTGGAGTTCCTGGGATGGGAGCCCAGGCAGGGAATTCCCTCTGGATAATCGGGTTATAACTGGGATTTCAGCACCTGCTGACGGCCCCGGGTGCTTCCCGAGGAAATTCCGGGGGTGTCGGAGCTGGGAAGGGATTTTTGGGGCTGGAACACCCTGAAAAGTCGTTATTAAGACTTGGTGTTCCTGGGATGAGAATCCAGGCAGGGAATTCCCTGTGGATAATCGGGATATAACTGGGATTTCAGCACCTCCTGACAACCTGGGTGCTTCCCGAGGAAATTCCGGAGTTGTCGGAGCTGGGAAGGGATTTTTGGGACTGGAACACCCTGAAAAGTCGTCTTTGAAACTTGATGATCCTGGGATGGGAATTCCCTGTGGATAATTGGGATATAAGTGGGATTTCAGCACCTCCCGACGACCCCGGGTGCTTCCCGAGGAAATTCCGGAGTTGTCGGAGCTGGGAAGGGATTTTTGGGGCTGGAACACCCTGAAAAGTCGTTATTGAGACTTGATGTTCCTGGGATGGGAGCCCAGGCAGGGAATTCCCTCTGGATAATCGGGATATAACTGGGATTGCAGCACCTCCTGACAACCCCAGGAGCCTCCGGAGGAAATTCCGGAGGTGTCGGAGCTGGGAAGGGATTTTTGGGGCTGGAACACCCTGAAAAATTGTTATTAAGACTTGGAGTTCCTGGGATGGGAGCCCAGGCAGGGAATTCCCTCTGGATAATTGGGATATAACCGGGATTTCAGCACCTCCTGATATCCTGGGAGTCTCCAGAGGAAATTCCGGAGGTGTCGGAGCTGGGAAGGGATTTTTGGGGCTAAAACACCCTGAAAAGTCGTCTTTGAAACCTGATGTTCCTGGGATGGGAATTCCCTCTGGATAATCGGGATATAACTGGGATTTCAGCACCTCCTGACAGCCCGAGTGCTTCCCGAGGAAATTCCAGAGTTGTTGGAGCTGGGAAGGGATTTTTGGGGCTGGAACACCCTGAAAAGTCGTCTTTGAAACTTGATGTTCCTGGGGTGGGAATTCCCTCTGGATAATCGGGATATAACTGGGATTCCGGCACCTCCCGACGGCCCCGGGTGCTTCCCGAGGAAATTCCGAAGGTGTCGGAGCTGGGAAGGGATTTTTGGGGCTGGAACACCCTGAAAAGTCGTCTTTGAAACTTGATGATCCTGGGATGGGAATTCCCTCTGGATAATTGGGATATAACTGGGATTTCAGCACCTCCTGACGACCCCGGGTGCTTCCTGAGGAAATTCCGGGGGTGTCGGAGCTGGGAAGGGATTTTTGGGGCTGGAACACCCTGAAAAATTGTTATTAAGACTTGGTGTTCCTGGGATGGGAGCCCAGGTAGGGAATTCCCTATGGAAAATAGGGATATAACTGGGATTTCAGCACCTCCTGACGGCCCTGGGAGCCTCCGGAGGAAATTCCGGAGGTGTCGGAGCTGGGAAGGGAT